TACTACTACTACTACGTCTACTACGACCACTACTACGACTACTGAAACTACGGCTACGACTACGACGACTACTAATACGAATACTAAGACTACTACGGCCACGACTACGACGACTACTTCTACTACTACCACTACCACGACTACTGATTCGACCTACCACTAACACTGTGACTAGTAATACTAATACTACTACGACTACTACTACCACTACCACTACTACTACTACTACTACTACTACTACTACTACTACTACTACTACTACTACTACTATTACTACTACGACTACTACTACCACCACTAGTACTACTACTACTACTACTACTACTACGACTGCTGCTACTACTACTACTACTACTACTACTACTACTATTGCTACTGTTACTACTACTACTACTACTACTACCACTACTACTACTACTACTACTACTACTTCTACTACTACTACGACTACTACTACTACTACTACGACTACTACTACTACTACTACTACTACTACCGCTACTACTACGACTACGATTACTATTACTATTACGACTACGGGCACGACTAGTACAACTTCTACTGCTACTATGACGATGGCTACGACTACGACTACGAGGCCTACTGCTACTACGACTACTACTACTACTACTACTACTACTACTGCTACTACTACTACTACCACCACCACTACTACTACTGCTAACAGCCCTGCGACGACTACGGCTACTACTACTACTACTACTACTACTAATACTACGCCTACTACGGCTACGACTACGACTACTACAACAAGTTCTACGACCACTACTACTAATACTACTACGACGACGACGACGATTACCCCTACTACAACTACTACGACAACAACCACTACTACGACGACTACTACTACTCTTACTACTACTACTACTACTACTACTACGACTACTACTACTACTACTACTGCTACTACTACTACTACTACTACTACTACTACTACTACTGCTACTACTACTACTACTACTACTACTGCTGCTGCTGCTGCTGCTGCTGCGGCTACTGATACTGTCAATACTGCTGCTGCTCCTGCTATTGCTACGACAACTACTACCTACTACTATGACGAGTGTCACGCCTGCTTCTATCACTACGACTACTACTACTACGGATACTGCTACGACGACTACTAGTTCTACTACTACGACTGTTACTACTACTCCTCCTCCTCCTACTACTACTACTACTACTACTACTCCTACTCCTACTCCTACTCCTACTCCTACTCCTACTCCTACTACTACTACTACTACTACTACTACTACTACTACCACTACGACTTGCTACCCCGACCACTACTACTACGACAATTAACACTGCTACCACTACTACTACTCCTGCTACTACTACTACTACTACTACTACTACTACTACTACTACTACTACTACTACTACTACTACTACTACTACTACGACTCCTACTACTACTACGACTCCTACTACTACCACTACTACTACTACTACTACTACTACTACTACTACTACTACTACTACCACTACTACTAGTTCTACTGAACCAGTTCGTCCTCCTCCTCCTCCTCCGCCTACTCCTCCCCCTTTTCCTCCACGTCCTCATAACTCTCCTCATCCCTTCTCACGCACTTTACCTGCTCGCTCCCCCTCCTCCCGCCTGCCTCATCCTCTCCCCTTCCCTCCCTCCTCCCTCTCCCCCTGCCCTCTCACCTCCTACCCCCTCTTCTGCTACCGCTCCACCCCCCTCAAGCCGTCTTCTTCGCCTCCACTGACCCCACCCCCCTCTCCCCGTCTCCCTCCTCCCCTCGCGCCCAGGGGAACCAACAGGTACCGATGTACCGCCACTCCCCCTTCCGGGGGCGCCCTCTAAACAGGAACCCCACGAGAATACAGCCGTGGCGACGAGGGCTCTCCAGGAAAAACGACGCCATCGGCGGCAGGCACCTCTCCTCCTCCGAACGCCGTCCCCTTCGCCCCCGGCCTGCGAGCTCTGTGGCCCCACCCATCCTCCCCTGGCGCGCCAGCACGCGACCCCTCCCCCCCCACTCCTCGGCGCCACCTGCCCGGGGCACCCCCACACACCCCACCCCCAAACGCCACCCCTCCCCGCATCCTAGGGAACCCACAGAAGGACGTGCGCGCATAGCAACGCACACGAATACGGCCCCCCCCCGGTCCGCGGGGCCAGCCTCGCGTTAGGAACGCTCGCGCAGAGCGTAATTTCGAAACCGACGTGGACTCGCGCACGTGTGCGTGCTTCTTTCGCCCCTCGACATCCGCCACCCCACCCCAATCCCACAATCCGCCACCCCCCTCCACCGCCACTGCCGCCACTACGGGCACCCCCGGGAGATTGCGCCTGCAGCGCACGCCGCGCGCGCCGCGCGGGCCGCAGGCGACGCGCGGGACGAGGGGGGGGGCTGCGCGGGAGCGCAGCCGCCACGGGCGCTGGCCGGCGTGCGTGGGGCGGGCGAAGGGCGAACAGCGGGCGGTCGCCGTCGTTTGCGTGCGCCCCCTCCTCCCTCCTCCTCCTCCTCCCTCCTCCCTCCTCCTCCTCCTCCTCCTCCTCCTCCTCTCCTCCTCCTCCTCCTCCTCCTCCTCCAACTCCTCCTCCTCCTCCTCCTCCTCCTCCTCCTCCTCCTCCTCCTCCCTCCTCCTCCTCCTCCTCCTCCTCCTCCTCCTCCTCCTCCTCCCCCTCCTCCATCGTCCCTCCCTCCCTCCCTTCCTTCCTCCCTCCCTCCCTCCCTCCCTCCCTTCCCCCCTCCCTCCATCCCGGCGGAAAGACCCACGGGCGCCAGAATTTGCCCCCCTCCCCCTTCGCCAAGGGGACCCGTGGGGACACAGTAGGGGGTTTTGAATTAACCAGCATGAATTACACCTAGGGCGGGGACTACAAAGCCGACACGACACTAGAGCAGGAGGAGGGGGAGGAGGAGGAAGGGGAACAGGCTGCAGCAGGGGCGGCCCGGCGGGGAA